ATTGATTCTTATTAGATTGACAACTTCACTTTTTCATTGTTACACACCAAAAACACCAGAACAAAAATAAATGATAGGACGCCGAACTGGCACGTTCATAAATGTTCTATCCGCGCCAACAATCAGATAAGACAAATTTGTCTAAATTGGACAAATTTTTTGCTAAAACAATAAACAACTCAGTAAATGTTTCCATATCATTGGACAAAAAGTTGGCATATTAGTTGAGATTGAGGATCACCCTGTATATAAAGAAAACACATTTGTTTTATTTAACTTGTCATTTATTACTAACAATCTTTAGCATAAACAATTACAAGTTTGCTAAGTAAATAGGAACTAAATTTTCTTACCTAGGTCATATATCTACAACGGAATAATGTCAGTCAATACTTATAAAGTACATTTATAAGAATTATTTACAACTTATTTACAACAATGCTCAGTCTAATCAACTTCTTCAATAGTTGGTCCAGATCTTCCGGCATTGAAGCCGCCTGCTTGCTGTCCGCAGCTGCCTGGCATCCCACCTCCATAATTGCTATTTTGAGGTCCTGCACTGTACAACTTGGCCATAATGGGACTGCAGACTGATGTTAACTGCTTCTGTCTGTCTTCAAATTCTTCTTTTTCTGCCAGTGTGTTGCTGTCAAGCCATCTTAGTGTTTCCGAACAATGTCGTTCTATTGTCGCTTTGTCTTCGGCGCTCAGCTTGTCTGCACACTCTTGAACGGCTTGTTTCAGTTGGAAAACGTAGGCTTCCAATTGGTTGCGAGCCGAAACTTTTTCTCTTTGCCTCTCATCTTCTTCCTTGTATCTCTCCGCTTCGGACAACATCCTGTCGATATCAGCTTGAGATAGGCGGCCTTTGTCGTTCTTGATGGTGATATTTTGCTGTCTGCCTGAGCTGGTGTCTTTGGCGGAAACGTTCAGAATACCATTTGCATCCAGGTCGAAGGTGACATCAATTTTGGGCACTCCTCTTGGTGCTGGAGGAATTCCAGTCAAGTCGAAGGTTCCCAATAAGTTGTTGTCCTTTGTCATGGTTCTTTCACCCTCAAATACCTGAATGGTTACTGCTGGCTGGTTGTCGGCGTATGTTGTGAACGGCTGAGATTGCCTGCAGGGAATTCTCGCATTTCTTTCAATAATTTTCGTCATCACGCCTCCTGCTGTTTCGATGCCAAGAGATAGTGGCGTAACATCCACCAGAAGTACGTCCTGAATCTTGCTGTCAGTTTCACCACTTAGAACAGCAGCCTGAACTGCTGCGCCATAAGCTACAGCTTCATCTGGATTAATACTGAGATTGAGTTGTTTTCCATTGAAGTAGTTTTGTAACAGATGTTGGATTTTTGGGATTCTTGTTGATCCTCCTACCAAGACAATGTCGTGGATGGAACCTTTATCCATTCGGGCATCGGCCAGAGCTTTTTCAACAGGCTGAAGAGTTCCTCTGAATAAGTCAGCATTCAATTCTTCGAATCTTGCTCGACTGACTTTGGTGTAGAAATCGATGCCTTCGAATAGAGCGTCAATTTCGATGGTTGCTTCAGTACTTGAAGACAGAGTTCTCTTGGCGCGTTCTGCCGCTGTTCTTAGTCGCCTAAGGGCTCTTGGATTTGATCGAAGATCTTTCCTGAATTTCCTCTTGAATTCTTCCGCCAAGTGGTTTACTAATCTGTTGTCAAAGTCTTCTCCGCCCAGATGGGTGTCACCTGCTGTAGCTCTGACTTCAAATAGTGATCCCTCATCGATGGTCAAAATTGAGACATCGAAAGTGCCGCCTCCCAAGTCGAAAATGAGCACATTTCTTTCTCCTTTCAAATTCTTGTCCAAACCATAAGCTAAAGCAGCGGCGGTGGGTTCATTGATGATTCTCATAACATTCAATCCTGCTATAACTCCGGCGTCTTTGGTTGCTTGCC